TTAGAGATGTAACACGGTTTTCTACTTGATTGAAAATGAAGTCTTCATGGAAGTGAAACCAATTTTCTGCTATTGAGTGAAAGTGAAGCTGTTTCAATGGCCTTCTCGAAGAGTGTTGTGTTCACCTTTTTTCTGTTTGTGGAGAACGTTGTGTCATGTTGTTGGCCTCAATATTAGGAATTATAGCAACACATCTTGTAAAAAAAAATTGGGCTTTTGGTGTATTATATGTACAAAGAACTTGTTGTATACATTCATTTTAGTACATCAACATGTCGTTCTTTTTCTTTAATCATGTGACCATGCCTTTAATTCACCATTATTGATTTCAACGTTTCCAGCTAGTGCCTGTAAATATTTAAACATACTGTTTTGCTAGAACTTGAACTTACGTACATGGATCTTGGAACATTTTTGTATTTTTGTAAAAGAAATGGGCTTTGAAAATCCTTTAACATATCTTCGCCTAATCATGAGAACATCATCACTCCAATGTTTGCAATCTCGATTTTGGTAAGATTTGCGTCACTTCTTATAACCGTGTACGGAGGCCTACGAGCTCGAAACTCTCAAATTGAAGCATAATTTGACTTTAAATACAAACTTCATGAGGAATAACGGATCTTGTACGTTAGTCATATAAATTCAACATGGAGATTCTTTGATTGGATTTCGAATTTAATAAATCACCTGAAAATCTTATGTAACTTGAACCTCCGAGTTTGAACTTCGAATGGGTTTGAGATTACGCCTCGAATAGATGTAGAAACCTTGAGCTTTCGCTTTGTATTCACAATTTTGAATTAGTCCGCAAACTCACATCATAAGCAAGAAACCTGAATCAACTGATGATCTTGAACAACACTTTTACTACTTAAGTCAAACACATTCCTCTGAGTAGCTTTGTAGAAACATCTTGCTTTACTGAAGCTCCACACACCCTTTAGACTATGCCAAACCTTTGATACAGGTCAAGCCCAAAGAAATCCTAGGGATATCATCTCGTGTCGACAGCAAGACCAATAATAATGAAGGTAGATGCTCCCACCATGATTCAGCATAAACCGTAGGAGATAAGAGATGCACGTAAAGTCTTCGGGGCTTCCTGAGTTTCCAGCAGTAACCTAACTTCACAAACAAACTGGTTAAAGAGGTTAGCCATGCTTGCTTGGACTTAGATGACATGCAACAAAATTCACAAGGAGGTGGGATCCTAAGGTCAAAAATTAGGCTGTGACAGATATGTACAAGTCTAAATACCAACTGATGAAGTGTTCAAAGAGGGATTAAATATGAGCAAACTTGTATTGGACATAAATGAGAAACGATTACTATATGTTGTGTATCAAAGGCTTGTTAATTGTTGTCTTTAATACAATTTTTCAGCAGCGATAGTCATGGTGGTGAGTCCAACGACACAATCAATTGTGATGGTAACATACATTGAATAAACAATACGAAGAAGTGCATGGTTGCTGCAATGTGCCTTGATGCATCAACAATTATGAAGCATACTGGTAGTATCCTATCACACATGTTACAATTTGATGAATACAAATTGAATGAAACTCGCCAAAGTACAATAACTGCTAGAACTGCAATTTAGAGACGCAATATTTATGACGATTGTTGTCAACATGATTATACGTTTCGATGAGGACATAGCATTTAGTTCTCCTAACACACGACTGCTTCCAAATTCTAATTGATAAACATAGTAGGTTTTCAAGATGATTGGTCCATGTAACGATGCAGAATCAGGATGCCTCCGAAACAGGTATATCCTTGTAGTAGCTGCCGAGTTCTCTTCCAAATTGGCTATGTTGAGATCTTTGTTCAATCATTGGTTTTTTTAAGGATTCTAAAGGAAGCATGAAGATTTATGCATGAAGATGGTGAAGGCTTAGACTTAATCTTGGTTTTAGATTCTCTCATAATTTTGATGTAGTGAAGTATGATGATGTAAAAACTCTCTCATTTTTTAAGTAATAATAATCATTGTCAGCTACTGCCAATGCAAGATAATATATTAAATCATGCACTTTAAAACTGACTAAACTACCATACTCATCAATTTTTTCAAGTCTTGGAAAAAATGACAACTTTAGAAGAATATCAATAAAGACATTGTTCACATATTTTGTGTCTTGTTCACCACTTAGACCTTCAAGGTAACCTTGTACCATCCATAATTGAATCAACTCAGTCTTTGTAACAAAAACATCCTTGAATTAAAATGAGCTTTGTAATCTAAATGATGATGGAATTTTGAATTTGGTATTGACGAATTTCCATTTGAACTTGTCTTGTAAAGAACAAATAAATCTTAAAATGTGTACACCTTGAACTTGATGAACTTATTACAAGAAAATATTATTATGCCATGCAACTTCTTTTGAATTTCTAACTTGGATAAATCCCATCAAATCTTAAACTTTGAGAAAATAATGAATTAATTTGAGCTTTCATGAGTCTAGAGTTTTTTGTTTGAGAACTTCTTGCTTGAATATGATAATCCAACTCCATAAATAAAAACAAATCCTGCTTGACATCTATTGCCCGCACAATCAAAGATTCAGACGATGATGAAACTTGATACATGAACCATGCCCTGAGGAATCTTTTGAAAACAATGATACGAATTGTGATGCAAATTACCATGAAAACCATAACCAAACCTCAAATGACCAGGCTCAACACCAATGAATAGGAATCCCTAATTCTCCTTGAGACATACACAAAGCCCTTTGAGACATTCTGAGTAAAATGACCAGTAGAAAACCTTAGGATCCTTTGAATCACAATCCATTGGTCAAGCCCTGAAATGATTGAATGTGAGAAAGAATATTGTCTATACTTGAAACCAATGTTCCTACACAAATCTGTTAGTAGTAAAGCACGCAGATATGCAAGATGATACACAAAGAGGTGGAATCTTAGGGTTAAAAATTAGGGTATGACAGTTGGTTATTGTGCACGATGATGTTGTTGTTTTTGTATGCATAAATAGTCGCATCAGATACATTTGTGGATAATGGTTCGTTGTTGGTGAGCCTAAAATTCCATTGTATGGATTGGGCTGGTAGCTGATTCAGAGGTGATGGATCAGTGAGTGCTTCTACTCCTATGAGGTGAGGATCAGAACGGTGAACCTGAGTTTTCACGAAAATTAGTACCACGTGTATAAGAATTGAGTCAGGTGTGAGTCTCATTGCATTGGATATGTTGCTAAATATGTGGTGTTGTGTGATTAATTGATTTTTTATCGTGTGATTGTTTGTTTGTTGGTGAATAATTGCTTATAATATTGTTGGGTGATTAATGTGAGAGATTTAGTTGAATTGTTGTTATGTTAACCTGATGCATACCGATTAACATGTTTTCCTTTATATTATCATGATATCGCATCCCTTCTGTTTGAATGTTGTCTCCACGTGGATAACGCGCAGATACTCTGGAGTAGCTTGTAGAAGCGTTGGAGATAGCTTCAGAGTACTTTATTAGTTTTCGTTAATTAGAATATGTCTTGCTCTGATATGTAACATCGGGTTGGGAACGTCAGTTATGGGATTGTTGTGTTTTCTTGACTAACATATTTTAGGATGATTTTGAAGATGTCGAACTATTGTAATTCCAATTCAGATGATATGCTATGTTGTTAACATATTTCATGAGTTTGAAATGTTAAATTGATTTAAATTTTAACTTTTGACGAGACTAAGATATTTTGGTGTTTTGAAGATGAATGGAGTTGTTTTATGATTATGATTCCGCTGCAAAGTTCAATTTATATGTTGAAGTCATAAAAAGAAAATGATGATATAGATGTTGTAACCCATGTTATGGAGCAGGATGATTATTATGAATATTTTTTGTGAAGTGTGACACCCTTGAGAGGTGAATTAAGCTAAATTATCCTTATTATTTTGTGAATTACTCTGTGGGGTTAGAAGGGTGTTACACCAATCGGTGTACTAAATTGTGATGACCATGAGATCATTTTTCTAAGAGAGAACATCGATTGTATCATCCTTTGAAAAGGTGATTGTGGGCTTTCAATCTCTCCCTAAGGTCCTAGTTTCCTTATCGGGTGTGATGCATACTATTAACACATGTTGAACATGTTTTTTACGGGAAGAGCTAGATTATCCTCCCTCAGCAAAACATCCAGGAATTGTGCTGATGGTCTTCTTGGAACTTTGCTTAAACATTCCCGTGAAAGATGGTGATGTAATAGTGAGTAATAATGAGTGCGTTCCAGGTTAGTTTTACTGAAGTCTCATGGTAGGTGCCAATTGTACTTGCTGAAAATACAAATGTGTGACAATTCCTAGTGATTAAGAGTTGTCAGAAACTTTAAGGTTTTTAGTGGGATTGAGAGCTAACTCACGTAGGGTGAGAAGTATTATACACGTGTATTTCCATATTCGAGTTAACTTGTTCTCAAGTGTGATGTTGAGGTATTTATAGCCATGTTATGCATAGATCAAAGGCATCCTTGAAATAGCAACCTCATAGGAAATGGATAGTTGATTCTCTGATATTCAGGAAACATAATTAACGCCCACGACTCAATATTGTTGGGAATCAAACACACGTTATCTCTGACCATACAATGTGGACAGAACATGGCCGACGTATTAAAAAAATATTTTATTATGTTTTAAAATCACATAAACACCTATGATATTCTTTAAGTATAAGTCTAAGAATAAGTAATTATAAAATAAAAAACATTGACTAGAATTTAAGAACACATCTAATTATAACAATCATGTAGACCAAAACATGAGAAAGTAGTATACATTGAGAATAACAAAAAAAGGAAACTATTAAACCCCTTTTAATTTGTTTTGCCGATTTTTCTCCACTAATATCCATATTGTGGATGATTCAAAGAAAATACATGTAATTTCCGTTAGATGATAACCAAGTTATTTCATAGAATTTGATTCCTTTCCTGCCTTTGTCATCATTGTTTCTTTGGAGAATGAATGGATTTAAGAATAGAACTTATAAGTCTTGGCATTAAGTATGATTGTCCTCAATCCTCCAATTGGTGATAAAATCATCAAACATAGGCCAAGGGCAATGCAAACCTATACGCAACCAACGAAACAATGTTAAAACAAAATTAATTTAAGCAAGAGTATTTAAAATGATAACAAAAATCAAACATACATAGTTACAACACCAAGACAAGCTGAATCTTCTTGGTTTGTAGATTGCTAGCCACATGATGCATGGTAGCTGGAAATATAACAGAAATATAGACCATTCATTGAATTGATTTTATCATAAAAACTTTTAGAATATCAAACTTTCACTAATTTTATAGCTTACGAAGTATGTTGTTGGAGCAAAAGCAAATCCTCCAAAAAATCCAAGTAGACCACCAAAAAACGGAAAGGTAATAGCAATAAACATTGTAAATGCTGCAAAAACAAAGAATTTTATGTCAATGCATATTGGAGCTACAAAAAGAATTCAACTACATTACATCAAAAATTGTTTTGATTAAGATAATGTACTTACCAACATACACATTTCGAACTATAAATCGAAGTATCGTGCTAGGTTTGAAATTTAACTTTTTCACCATCAGAGTTTCAATCATGTCAAACACGGGCATTGCATAAATCTACATTTACTAAACACGATTAATCTTAACGAAATCTTACATATAAACGTTATTGAACAATTACGAAAGATTAAAAATGAGTGATTTCACCTGATAACTTCCGATAACATGGATAACAACAAACATGTTTGCCATTGCAATAAGCCATTTTGGTTTCTCTAAGGTGACGAGTATGTTGTCGTCAACGGTATTACCAAACATCCAATAACCGATCAGAGCAACCGGAAAGTAGCACAAAGCTACAACTATGTAGGCAACAATCACTCCTCTCCACATAGGACCTTTGGATGGCTTTTCTGGCGTGGATGGAATTGTTGCTTGAATTTCTAGTACTACGTTGTGTCCGGCATAGGCAAAAGCCACATCACCAAGAGCATTGAAGAAGCCAAAGACGGTTCCTGGTTTAGTCGTAGCTCTGTAACCATATTCAACATTTTCTATAACACCTTTATGCGCAGAAGCTGACCAAGCAATTGTAGAGTAACTGCAAGGAAAATAAACATAAATGTGAAAGTTATATTTTCCGAACTCACAGAAACATCAAAGTTAGTTATAATCGGTGATTTGTTAAATTTTTTTTAGTTAATTTATTGATTTACATCTATTATATACTATATTTAATTGAAACTCAGTTGTACCTCAAGGACATGACTGCAGCAGCCAAAGAGACACCAGAAATAGAGTTCAAGTTGGGTAAATGAGACAAGACAAAGTGAACCGAGGCAAAAATCATAATGAAATATGTTAACTTAATCTTTTTACAGTCGTGACACACGGTATCATGAAACTTCTGCAAAGATTTTCCTCCGGTCACCATGTATACAATGTTAACCCCAACTTCAACTATAAGTTGTTGTGGAACCACAATATAAAGCCCCAACTTTTCGCCGAAAGCGTATTGACCCAGTTCATGATATCTATCAAAACGTTTTCCTGGAACCATTTCATGCATCTCCACCATTTGCCATAGTGTGTAGAGTGTGATGAACCAAGAGAGGACTAGTATTGTCACCCCAGGACCCCTGAAACAATATTGTGCTTCTCAAGTCAAGAAAAGTAAATTAAAAAAATTTAATTGTATATACCGACATACTGAAATTTTTAAATTAACAGTATGACATGAAACAAAATTTCTATTGAATGATACTCGTACCAATTAAACTCTATTAAAAATTAATGATAAAAAATGAAATAAAAAAAATATACCATCCAAGTTGAGACATGGCATAAGGGAGACTAAGAACACCAGCACCAACCATGGCAGTAACATTATGAAAAGCAGAGTACCACCATTTTGCATTTCTCGAAGAACTAATTGGAAGCCAGTCATCAATTGCTTTCTGCCTCTTTAATTCTTCATCAATCTGGTTCATCAATAGCAACACAAAAATAACTGATTTTTTCCAAATGAATGAATCAATAAATTTGACTTTTTCATTTGATGGGCACCAAAAGGGGCAAGTGGAACACAAATAGTAGCTTCCAAACTTGTTGGAAATTTCACACAAAAGTTGTACTATTAGGTACTAGTGCCTATCTTTATCTTATCATGACTTTTGTGCATCCCACCAATTTAACCAATTTTTTTATACTATTAATCAAAGTTTTTTTCGAAAGAAATTAATCAAAGTTAAAATAAATATCTAGTCTACATAATATCTATGTACTAGTTGACTAGTGATGGGAACATGCTTAGATTCATCAAATAAAATGACTATTTCTAGCTGTCAAAGTGTGACTTATTCAAAGAAAAAACTATAATGTTTTTAATTAATAGGTATTACTATTAAATAATCATAATTGTAAGTTAAAAATCTTGGAACACATATTTGTATTTAAGTCTGTGATTACAAGTGTGAGAAATATATAGTATTGCAATTTACTACTATTATAAGAATATCTCTGAACTAGTCACAAGTCTGGCCATGTTGCCGTATAAATATTAAAATATGTTTATTTATTAATTATAAAAGTCTTGCCGTTGAAATAGCATAAGAAACAAAAGTAAATTGTAAAGATAATCGGTGCAATTAATGCAATGTTTAGTTAGTTATGGGTGACTTTCAAGTTTACGTTAAAGCCTATCACGGATATCTCGTAGATGTACATTTTAAAGTTTAATCTCTCTCTAATTTTCCAAATTACTTAAAATCTTAATAATAATATGATGATATAGGTGATAATTTGAAAAAAATAAACAAATTAAACATAATGGTGCAAGTGTTTAATACTGACATATTTTTTTTAGAGGTGTCTATGCTAAGTAGTTTAAAAAATACTAAGAGATGATCATGAATAGGATTTTGAAGAAAAGAAAACAAAAGAGATGATCATGAATAGGATTTGTAGACAGAGAGTAGTATATGAAACACAATTGCAAGCAAATAAATATAACATGGTTGTATGAGTTAGAGTAATAACAAGGAAAGAGATAAAGAAAGAGAGAGACTTACATCTCTGGGTGGTGCTTGTTGGGTTCCCATAATTTGATGTATTTATTTGCTTTCTGTGTACTTGGAATTTTGCCTCTACTCACATATATATACTAAACAAGTCAAATGTCAATGCATATACATCACATATGAGAGAACGCGTAAAAGGGGGAACTAATGAAAAACGGCAGGAGACTTTTCTTCTTAAAGAGAGATAATTATATTATGGCGGTCTTTCTTTTAAGAAAAACATTATTGTGGAGATGGGTTACATCAAAAAGAAAAAAAAAATTAGAGAATTTTTTTTTACTCTACGTATTTCTTCTATGCTATCTTAATTTTTAAAAGTGTTGTTTAATTTTTGAGAATATTTACGAACACACTAAATTTAAGTCAGAGTCACGTAGTTCGAAAAACTACGGGTGATGGGGGAAGGTTGCTCGCCAAGACATCGTCGTCTTGTGCGTACGTATCCTCATCTGGTATGAGAAGTCAGAGCAAGCGTAGTTTGGATAACTACAGGACAAGGTCTCGATCACACAAGTGTGAGAGAAAAGGTTTGAATTAACAGGTTGGTCTCGATCGCAATGGGGCGAGAGAAAATGGAATTTAGTTGTTAGTGTGCTCGCCAAGGATAGAAATCCTCGTGCCTACGTATCCTCATTATGGAATAAGAAATCAGAGCATCCGTAGTTCACGCTACTACAGGAAAACGGGATCTCGATCGCACGGGGGCGAGAGAAAAGTTTCTGGGCCTGAAACGCCTTAACAGAAGTGAATTGACTTTGTTTGAGATGTGTACTGCACTAAAGTCTATGACATAGGAGCGAATGTGTCGCATATCGTCCACGAGGCATACGCTAAACACTCTAGACAAGCAAGGAGAGACCATTCTCTCGTCATTTTCCATGTACTTAAGCCTCATGGCGCACAATACTCATCATATTCATTAAGTGTTTTGATTATTGTTTTGAGAAAGAAGAGATAAACACATAGAAGGTATAGGGGAAACTGAATCCTAACTGTTATCATACAATGTGGCCCTAAGGCCAGGATTAGAAGGGAAGTCTACCTAATGTTGTCATGCTTGAATTGAAAACCTAATGTCTCTCTTACCTCGAACTTAATCAGAAATTAAGTGGAGTTAGGAATCCTAAGTAATCAACAGGTAAACACGAAGCATCACAATCATAAACAACATCAAGCACCCAAACTCAAGTAAATATACAAGATCAAAGCCATATCAGTCATCAAAGCAAATATATACAAGTGTCGTCAAAGAAATATTCACAAATGCACTCGAGAATAAATGACAAAGTAGAATAAGCTCCTAAAAAACGTTTAACTAAAATCAAAATCAAAGTTTAATTGATTAAATCCTAATCAAAGGTGAATCCTAAGTTAAATCAAAATTAACTTCTAAAAACTAAAATCTAATTCTAATTCTAAACTAAAATAAAATTAAAATCTAAATAAGAATATAAAACAAGAAAATCCTCTGAATAGGGAAAACACCATTAACAAGAAAATCCTTTGATCCCGTGTCTTAGGAGACCAATGCAATGATATGATTAATAATGCAAATGAATGAAGCATAAGCCAGTTAGAGTTAGAGAAAGAGAGGGCAAGTTTTGGGGTGCTACAAATAGGAGGCTCAAGAAACAACAAGCATCATCCATTTCATCATTCAACAACATCCAAATCATAAATTTCGAGTATGTTTTTTGACTTTCCAATAAATATTTGAGTTATAGTATAAACGAGTAGGAATCAATTGTTAGGAGTATGCATTATTTGTTGGCTCAAATGGACGATCAAATGTCTATTTTTCACAATGCAAGTAGCAGAGGATGCCATTGTCGCGACCTCTGAATTACAAAATATTCTGGAAATACATCTTCGAAATTATTCAGCGTCTGAGATATTCTAGAGATGCATCTCAGGAAGCATTCAACGTAAAAAAAATTTAAGGTGTTTTCTAGAGATGTAACTCTAGAATATCCTACAGACTGTTTTTTCTTTTGTTTTTTTTTTCTTGTTTGTTTGTGTTGTATGCACAAATGATACGGTGTAATTTACCTTACATGTATTATGGCTGACAGGGTCGACAGGCTGAGACATAGTCGGGTTGCCTAGCATGCATCCGTTCGGCGGGAGCAGAGCCAACATGTTCTAGAGGCAGCAGATACATCTGGTTAGGCAGAGGCGTCGACTTCAAGGGCGTAGTCTACTCCTATGGTTTGACCTTTACCTCAGGCCACTCCACCTTCATCTCAAGCCACTCCACCTATCTCAGACCACTTCATCTTCTTCTTATTCTTCTTCCCATAGGAGACATGATTCACCAGTTAATGTGTCACTTCCACCTTCCTCCCGCAGGTGTTAGGATGCACCAATGCCACCTCCTACTGATTCGATGCCATCCCCCGCTGATGATCCAGCTGATCTAGTGACACCTCTAGAGGGTGAGGTTGTTGAGGATGCTGAGCCAGAGGGATTCAGAGGAGGTTCATCTAATGTGTCCTTACTTCCTATGTATCTAGACCACACTGCCAGACATATATGAGATAGAAAGGTAGCATTAGTCTGATTTTTGAATTACTTTTTATGTTAATTTAAATTGTTGACATTGATTATTTCTAACACTAACTATTAATGGCATTATTTGTTTCTGGAAAATGACAGGTGCGTGATCCCCAAAAGTTTCTGAACCATGGGAGGAAGATTCAAGGCTTAGGTCATCTAGATGAGGATTGGTTTCAGTCTGTTCTGACCATATCTGGGTTGAGTGACCTATGCATGACCGATTACACACTGGTCAACCACGGGATGCTTAATGCATTCGTGGAGAGATGACATTCTGAGACATCTTGTTTTCATCTCCTGCATGGTGATATGTCTATCACACTAGACGATGTCTCGTGTTTATTACATATTACGATCAGAGGGAAGTTCCTCGATCGTGGTAGGATGACCAAAGACGAGGCAGTCAAGATGATAGTGGAGCATCTGGGGACTGATCCATGGAAGGAGATTGTTGAGATGGATAGAATCATGGGTGCTCATGCTAGGTTTGATTTCCTAAAAAAGATATATGATGAGGAGATATTTGCTGCAGAGGTGGCTGATGGTGATCTTGAGCAGGTGGCGATACACAGGGCCCGTGCTTTTAGGGCATATTTTTTTGGTTGGCACTTGCATTTTTGTGGGCACGAGTGCCACTTATATTGACGTTCCATACCTTCGGTACTTCTTGGATCTCACTCGAATCCATGAGTATAACTAGAGGTAAACTTTCCTAGCCTATCTGTATTCAAAGTTGAGAGATAGATGTCGATAGAGGACGAAGCAGGTCACTGACAGCACGACACTACTGGTGGTAATAATTTTTTATCCTTGAATGTTTTTTTTATCTTATCTTTTTCATTTCATATTTGTGAAACCATTGCCGATAATTGTTGATCCATGAATTCTTTTTATTTTTATTTTCATTTCATGCTTGGATCCTCCAGCACTTCTCGCGCATCGATGGCCGAGCGAGTGTGGATGACTACATTGAGGACATGCCCCATGCATATGATTTTATCACACTGAGAGGGAACCAGGTAGTCGAGCCTTTCAGAGTCTATCTTAATCGCTTAGTTGTTGAGGACATCCACTTCAACAGCTATGTGGATCATCGTCAGGCGTGAGCATTTGATGACATATCTCTATACTCCGGATAGTTGGCCTACGGATCATGTTCACTGCTTCTCATCTTCCCGAGTACGTAATGCGGCAGTTCGGGTACACCCAAACCATCCTCAGGCACCTTGTCGTCTCAGCTCCTCCTGCCTTATCTCATAGACAGATAGTGGAGATTTTGCTAATTATCAGGGTCACCTAGTACTGGAGGAGGCTCGGGCTACTATAGCACCGAATGACCGGAGCTACATCGACGAATACATTAGGTGGTTAGGGTATCACATTTGTACATGGTGTTGACTGCTCTAGGAGATTCGTTGAGACCAGCTCATTAAGATATTCTAAAGGAGCAGCAGGCTCAGCTTGATCGTGCTGAGGATATCTTACCTCGTTGTAGTTGCATAATGGAGATTGCACGAGAAGACATCCACAAAGGTATCTTCCCTAAGGGGTCTGTTGTCAAGCGAGTCCTAGATGCCATTTTGGCGGAGGTACATGGGGCACTGTTGTACCGTAGACATCACTGGAGGACGGGGTTATGGATGATGGTCGAGGAGGCAGAGGAGGTATAGGAGAGGTTGTAAGGCACACTCTGTAATTTTTTTGTTATTATTTTGATGTTGAATTATAGTTTGTACTAATAATGCGTGTGTCAAAATTTATCACTTGTAATTTTCACTTTATTTATATTATTGTACTTTTACTTGTGCATAAATTTCTTCTTCATATTTTTCAAAACTATTTTTATATTTTATTTCGCTTATAATAAGTTGAACTTACATCTATTATATTTGTAAAAAACAAGAGAAAACTTGGAATTAAAAATGAGCATCAGGGATGCTCACCCTTATACAATCAAGAAATTAAGAGGAACACTCCATAAAAACTACACCCACAATAAACCCAAACACAATCCCGAAATTTCTGGAGAGAAACTTTAAAAGGAAAAAAACTACACCCAACACTTACCGGGTTATTATACCATTCGAACCGAGAAACATTCCTCCATTTTCTATGAAAAGCCATAAACCAATCCTAAGATAATGTCTTCATAAAACTCAACACTTTCAACTTAACAAGGACATAACCTTTAAAAAGAATCGAGTTTTGGCATGACCAAATAGACCAACAAAACACAAGAAAAAACAACCAAAAAGAATAGGAAGAATTAAGATAAATAAGTCTATATAAAATTATACCACCTAGAGCCAGAAAATCTACCCCAATCCATAAACAAAACTTGTTCCATAAGAAGTTGGAAAAGGAAGAAGAACAAAACAAATGCTCAACATCTTCATCTTCCAAAAACACAATGGGAAAACCACATTATGTGCTCCTCAAATAGTGCCCCTTTTTGCCAAATCCAT